GTGGAGTGTATGGTAACAGGCTTTTGTGAGGCCAAATATGGCCATACCCTTGCTTGTTGCTAGCTCTCTTCTGCTTGCTAAGTCACTCTTATGTAACACCTACTGGGGTGGCCTTGGAGGTCCAGAGTCCTGGTCATATGCCATCTTTGTTCACCAGAGCCATAAAAACTCTTGCTACCCTACAAGTGGCATGGAGACTTGGGTCTGTCCTGCCATCACCCAAGGCATTGCCTCAGTAAGTAAGCCCTTAATAAAACTCTTATATCACAATTGGAAGCTCTGGTGGTGCAGTGCCTAAGGCACTTGACTGCCAACCGGAAGGCTAGTGGTTCAAACCCACCAGACTCTCCTCAGAAGGAAGATTAAACAATCTACTTCCATAGAGATACTGCCTTGAAAACCCAAGGAGGGGTCGCTATGAGTCAAAAGGACTCGACAGCAGTGAGTTTTGGAGATCACAATCATGAAGCTGCCAGCCTCTTTCTTCAGTCTCATGGCACCTTAGGAAAATTTTAAGTTACTGGTCTGTGCCCACACACTCTTCCTTTCCCTCCTGACAGCATTCATGCCTAGGACAAGGCAAGCATGTTATGGCCTTCATGACCAGCTGGTGTGTGTTGGAGTCTGGGAACTGAGGAGCACATTGGAACCTGGGTTGCTGTCTCAGCCCCTGGTGGATTCTGCTGGGCTAAGGTAGCTTCCCCAGAGCCATGTAGGAAGATAAGCATGGGCAGTTTCCAGGAGTGAAGCAGAGATGTAGGCCAGGCCAGACTGGACAGGGTCAGACCATGGGTGCTGCTCTTACCCAGGCTCCTGGAAAGGGGAACCAGACCCACCCTGTCCTCCATCCCTCAGTCCTTCCCTGCTGCCCCTCCCTCATGCTTCTCATTCATATTCAGGCCACTTGCCTCATGGATATTGAGCTTATTAAACTTCCAGTTGTATGATTCAAAAGCACCTGGCACACAGCAGGTGCTCAATGTAGGTCACCTCCTCCTTCATCCCTTTCAACATGTGCCACCTGAAAAGTTAAGCTGTTCTCCCTATTGCCAGTCCGCCCCACACACACACTCACACACAATCTTGCTCTTGCGCCATGGGTGCTTGGCCTCCTAGCCACACTTGAACAGCCCCAACAGGTGGTGAGGCACCTCATGATCCCTTCTGCCTTCAAGCTCTGGGGAGGAAGAGGCAGAGCAGATGGAGAGTCACAAGACTTGCACTCACTGCCCTGGGGGCAGGGTGGCCTGGGAAAGGGAAGTCCTGCCGAGAGCTCCACAAACATCCATGCCCCAACCCCACATCTTTTCCCAGTATCCTGCAGTTAGCAGGATTCAATGACGCTACAAAACTGTGGGCCTCATAACCCCATGTGAGAGCAAGGTTCAGCCCTGAGGCTCTTTGGGTGAGCTTCCCCCTCTGTCACCTCTAGTGATGTTATCAGGAGTTCTAGGGAAAATGAACTTCCTTAGTTTTCTGATGCCTGTGGAAGTAGATTGCCTCATCTTCCTTCCATGGAGCAGCTGGTGGGTTTGAACCGCCAACCTTCTGGTTAGCCGTCAAATGTCTTATGCACTGCACCACCAGAACTTCTTATATGGTAATTTTGCTTCATTTCATTTATTCTTTAGGGTTTGTGGATAAGTTGGGGTGAATAGGAGATGTGGCAGAGATCAACTCCCCTGAACATTTTTGTACCCCCTGCAATAACTCAGGTGTTTCTTATGATCCTAGAAGAATTGCATCCCAAAGATGATTTGTAAAGCATTCTTCTCTGTATTGAATCCAATTTTCCTATGGCCTTTCATTAACAATAGAGATGTATTCCTTTGGGGGAAAAAGACTTGTCTAAGAGTGGTACGAGTGGTTTGTGATTGGCTGTGAACCTAAAGGTTCGTGGACAAAACCCGCCCAGCAGTTCTGCAGAAGAAAGACCTGGAAAATTGCTTCCATAAAGATTAAATAAAAACCAAATCCACTGCCATTGAGTCGATTCCAACTCATAGGGACCCTATAGGACAGAGGAGAACTGCCTCATAGGGTTTCCAAGACTGTAAATATTTATGAAAGCAGACCACTTCATCTTTCTCGCTGGAGTGGGTGGTGTGTTTGAACCATCAAACTTTTGGTTAGCAGCCAAATGCCTTAGCCACTGTGCCACCAGAGCTCTTTTCCTTAAAGATTACAGCCAAGAAATTCCTATGAAGCAGTACTACCCTGTGGCACACAGGGTCCCCATGAGCAGCAATCAAGTTGATGCAAATGGGTTTAGATTTTTGAAGACCTTAAATAACACTTCACATTTGAATATCTTTATAATCATTATAGTCTTTAATCTTATAGACTGTATATCATTTTTGAGTTCTAAATTTTATTGTGGTACAATACACATAGGACAACTAAACACCTCATGGGATTTGGTTCCTTGGTTTAGGGTCATGGTTTCATCCCAGTTAATTGGCCTAATAATGTGTTTCATGCTTCTATTCTACTTCCTTGTTTTTTAAGTAGTGACTGGGGTCTTAAAAACTTGGCAAGAGTTCATCCAAGGTATGGTGGTTCTCTGCTCACCCAGAGTAACAGAGGAAGAAGGAGAGTCAGGAACAGGAGGAGGAAATGAATGTGTGGCCAATGGCCTCCATGAGCAACTGCCTCCTCTGTCATGAGACCAGATGAGCTACCATTAGTGAACAATTTGATCAAAGTCCCTATAGAAGAATCTTGATCAAAAGGAGGAAAAGAACAGCATTTCAAATTCTCATAGACTCCAGGCTTTCTGGAGTCATGGAGGCTGGAACGATCCCTAAAACTATTGCCCTGAGGTAATCTTTAAACTCTAAACCAAAAATATCCCCTGAAGTCCTCTTAAAATCAAACAACAGTTTAGCTTCACTGGTAGAGATTGTCTGTCTTTCAAGATTTTTCTATATGGGAACAAATTGAAAACAGCAACTCAAAAGATTAGATAGGAAACTCAGGGGTCACTGAATTTATTTTAATGTGTGTGGAACAACTCGGAAAACAAGGTGAAAAGGGGTGCACAATCCAAAGAATGTAATCATTTTTACCGAATTACACATGTAGAAATTGTTGAATAGTGTTTACTGTGTATACAACAACCAAAATAAAGAAAAGAAACTTTTTAAAAAATGTTTTAAAAATATTTATCTATACATGGGAGCCCTAGTGGCACAGTGGTTAAGTGCTCAATTGTTAACGGAAAGGTGGTTCAAACCCACTAGCGTCTCCACAGGAGAAAGACATGACAATGTGCTTCCATAAAGAGTTACAGCCTTGGAAACTCTATGGGGCAGTTCTACTGTGTCCTCTAGGGGTGCTGTGAGTTAGAATCAACCTGATGGCAGTGGGTTTAGTGACAAATTTATTTATACATCTTCTTCAGAGAAATATCTATTCAAGTCCTTTGTTCATTTTTTTAACCCCATTTTTAAATTGGATTATTTGTCTTTTTGTTGTTGGTTGTGCCAAACTCACTACCATCAAGTCAATTGTGACTCATAGTGACCCCTCCTTGGATTTCTGAGGCAGTATCACTATGGAAGTAGATTGTCCAGTCTTCCTTCTGAGGAGTGGCTGGTGGCTTTGAACCACTAGCCTTCTGGTTGGCAGTCAAATGCCTTAGTTCCATAGATTAGATTTTATTATTGACATTTTACAGAGGCTACAGGTCTTGCTCAAGGACATGCAGGTGTAAGTGAAGGAGTCACAGGAGGATCTAGCCTCCTGCTTCCCAGTCTAGTGCATTCTCCTCTTAACCTTGACATTCAAGATGGTAGCAACGTTTTTTGGCTCATTGCTGGATTGAAAAATACACATTTCAGGGAAAACAATTATAAGACCAAGTAAACTACTCATACAACTTCTCCCATACATTTTTGTGTTCATCTAAAAAATATCAAGATCCAAAGGAAAACTCATACTAGTTAATCAAACACGTTGCCATAGAAAAATTTCCAATGTCTACCAAACTGTGTCCCTAGAATCTTCCAGCAGGAAAATCAGCAACTGTCCTTCATTTCCTAGCACTCTCTCAAGGAAGGTCCTGATGTGCCCAGAAGAAAGCAAGAAAGTAAAAGCTCCAAAAAGGACATCAATGACCAAAAAGGAAGGGCATTCTTGGGACTTCAAACATGAAACAGGGTTTCCTATGGTGGACACTGGAGTTAAATAACTGAAAGATCTCAGGGAATATGGTGCACATTAGGAGTTGGATTTACTGTTCTCTGTGGCTCTTTGTGCAAGCTGAGGGCACTTATCACAAGGAATGGGAGTGTGTGAGTTTTAATTCCATGTGGATCTAAAAGAAGTTGGGTCCATGTAAGTTTGTGGAGTCCCTGTTTTGTGCCCAGCCCCGAGCTGAGTGTAGTGGGCACTATATAGGAAGGAAGTCCACAACCTGAGGACCCTCTAGTTGAGTTGAGGACACTTGCTCAATACTAGAAACCATTTAGGAACTCTGGGGTCATGGTGCCATTGTGGGGTTCAGGCCTAGAGCTGGAAGGCTCATGGGTTCAGGGAAGTTTCCCGGGACACAGCCTCACCGAGGGTATATTGGGCCAGAGAAGGGTATTTATCCTTGCTCCTCCCCACAGGGCTCATCATGACCACAAGGAAGTGAGAGAGGAGTTTCCGGTCATGACCAGAAGGAAACCACACCATTTGGCCCTGTTGTTCTGGAGGGTGGTGAGAGGGTGAGCAGTGCAGGTCTGTGAGTATGGTGAGTAATGGAGGTGTGTGTGGGGGTATCTTAACCAGAAATAGCTATGGATCGTTGATTTAACTGGATAGGATGGTTCCCAGTGGATGTCTGTCACTGCGGGCCACTCAGCTCCCTCAGAATCCTCCATTTCTGGCCAGTTCTAGGAGAAGAACTCTGAACACAGAAGCTGCACTTCTTAGGGACTCTGGCCTCTCCTCCTGAGGAGGACTGGTGTCCAGCTAGGACTGGGGCTATTTCAAGTGACACCTGTCTTTGAGAAATGACCCAGAGGGACTGGGCCGTGTGGCTGCATCCAGCTCTGCTGCTTCTCTGGCTGCCAGGTGAGGGAACATCCCGGACTGAAACTCTGTCCTGGGAGATGGGAGGCAGGGAAGGTGTGTGAGGGGATAGAGGCAGGGCAGGTGCCAGGTGAGGCATCTGAGTGTGGACTCTGACAGGGCTCATCCACCACTGGGATGGAAGGATGAGGGCCTGTCTGTCCTTCTACACCCCTGACCTTGGATAGGCCTCATGGGGAGTGGAGCATGGGGGTGAGTGTGAAGGAAGGAATTGTGGGAAGTTCTTACAGGAATCATCATGAGAAGAAGGAAGGTGAGAGGCAGGTCATCCTCTGAGTGGGTGGGAGAGTGTCCACAGCTAAGGGCACCTGAGGGGCATGTATTTTGGGAGAGACAGCATCCTCCTGGTTCTCCTTTGCTGGCTGTGGAAGAAGCACAGAGACCGTGGAGGATCAGGCTGTGGTCTCAGGGACATGGAGGTGTTGCTGGGGCATCATGGGGGCTGACTGGAGCCTGAGCAGGAAGGAACTCTGGTGACAGCCCCTATGTGGGCCTGAGAGCCAGGGGTCAGTTGTCTCCAAGTAGGAGAGATGGGGATGGAGGGGAGGGAATACTGGTAGGAAGGAAGGGGAGAGAAGAGAAATCGTGGGAAGAAAAGTGAAACTGTGCGGAGAGAAGGGAAACTGTGGAGAGAGAAGGGAGGAGCCTTTCTTTGGGGTAACTCACAGGTTTTGTCAGAAGAGACTGAAACTTTCCCTTGAGTGGAGAGTAGCTAAACCAAATGGAAGAAAAGACAAGGTAAAAAAAGCTAAACAGAAGATTTAAAAGAGCAGCTTGAGCAGACAAAGTCAATTATTATAATGAAATGTGCAGAGACATGGAGTTGGAAAACCAAAAGGGAAGAACACGTTTGGCATTTCTCAAGCTGAAAGAACTGAAGAGGAAATTTAAGCCTCGAGTTGCAATATTGAAAGATTCTATGAGCAATATAGTGAATGATGCAGGAAACATCAAAAGAAGGTGGAAGGACTGTCATCCACTTGGAAGGGATGTAGGAGATCCTGCATAGAGAGGGAGAACAATGTGGAACAAAACTCAAAATCATTTGGAGGCAAAAAAAAAAAAAAAGAAGAAGAAGAAGAAGAAGGTGGGGACCAGGTTTGCTGGTCCAATAGAGCCTGGTGGAACCACTGAGACTATGGCCCCTAGCTGCCCTTCAGGTCTGGAATTGAACCTACACCTGTGGTTTCCAGCCAAACAAAGTACAGGCAAGTGAGTTAAACATTTACCTCAAGTAGACACACACCCTGGAGAGAACAATCATGGGAGAAGGAAGGGCTGCTTATGCACAGGGAGACAGCTCAGGGCGCAGAAAAGTATGGAGGGATGGACACTGGGAAGAGGTAACTATGGGGAGGAAGTGGGAGGGGGGGAGCTGTTGTATTGTAAATTTTGGTCAATGACATGAGACAAAGTATATGTGCACTGCTGTATGAAAAGTGAATTTACTCTGTAAATCTTCACCCAAATCAAAATAAATTAAAAAAAAGAAGAAGGTGGAAGGAATACACAGAGTCACTGTACAACAAAGAATTGGTTGATGTTCATCCATTTCAGGAGGTGGCATATGATCAAGAACCAGTAGTACTGAAGGAAGAAGTCAAAGCTGCACTGAGGGAAGTGGTGAAAACAAGGCTCCAGGAATTGACGGGACACCCATTGAGATGTTTCAACAAACAGATGACACACTAGAGGTACTCACTCAGCTATGCCAAGAGATTTGGAAGACAGTTACCTGGCCAACTGACTGGAAGAGATCTTTATTTGTACCCATTCCAAAGAAAGGTGATCCCACAGAATGTGGAAATTATTGAACAATATCATTGATATAGCACGCAAGTAAAATCTTACTGAAGATAATTAAAAAACGGTTACAGCGGTATATTGACAGAGAACTTCCAGAAATGCAAGCTGGATTCAGAAGAGGACATGGAATGAGGGATATCATTGCTGGTGTCAGATGGATCTTGGCTCAAAGCAAAGAATACCAGAAAGATAAACTTATGTTTTATTGACTATGCAAAGGCGTTGGATTGTGTGGATCACAACAAATTATGGATAACATGGGAATTCCAGAACACTTAATTGTGCTCCTGAGGAACTTGTACATAGACCAGGAGGCTGTTGTTCAAACAGAACAAGGAGACACCACATAGTTTAAAATCAAGAAGGGAGTGTGTCAGGGTTGTATCCTTTCACCATATTTATTCAATCTCTGTGCTGAGTGAATAATCTGAGAAGCTGGACTATATGAAGAAGAACGTGGCATCAGGGTTGGAGGAAGACTCATTAACCACCTGCATTATGCAGACAACACAACTTTGCTCACTAAAAGTGAGGATGACTTGAAACACTAACTGATGAAGATCGAAGACTACAGTCTGCAGTATGCATTACACATCAATATAAAGAGAACAAAAATCCTCACAATGGGTCCAAGGGGCAGCATCATGATAAATGGAGAAAAGACTGAAGTTGTCAAAGACTTCATATTACTTAGTTTCTACAGTCAACATCAATGGAAGCAGCAGTGAGGATATCAGACGTCATATAGCATTGGGCAAATCTGCTGCAAAGGACCTCTTTCAAGTCCTGAAGAGCAAAGATGTCTCCTTGAAGACTAAGGTGCACTTGACACAAGCCATGATATTTTTAGTCACCTTGTATGCATGTGAGAACTGGACAATGAAAAAGGAAGACCAAAGACAAGTCGATGCTTTTGAGTTGTGGTGTTGGTGAAGAATGCTGAAAGTACCATGGACTGCTAAAAGAACTAACAAATCTGTCCTGGAAGAAGTGGGGCCGGAATGCTCCTTGGAAGTGAGAATGGCCAGACTTTGTCTCACCTACTTTGGTCATGGTGTAAGAAGGGACCATTCCCTGGAGAAGGATATCATGCTTGGCAAAGTGGAGGGTCAGCAAAAAGGGGAAGGCCTTCAACCAGATGGATTGATACAGTGGCTGCTACGATAGGCTCAGCTATAGCAAAAATCATGGGGCTGGCACAGGAGTGGGCAGTGTTTCGTTCTGCTGTACATGAGGTCACTATGAGTCAAGATGATTTGACGGCACCTGGCAACAACAACAGCACAGGGTTGACCCTTCCTTTCAGAGATTGGGTTTCTGTGCCCTCTGTGATGACTGTGTTCCTCACACAGGCCCTGCACATTTCTTGTTAGTTTGTTCCTGGGATATTTAAACATTTTTGGCTGTTTTTGTTATACATTGGATGTTTTTTCTGTTGTATCTGCTCACTGGTCATCTAGAGGAAATCTACTGATTTTGTGTGGAAGCCAGTCATCGTCCTGCATCGTTTCCATTGCTTCTCTTGGGCTCACATGCTCTGCATCCCCTGAGAGTCGGCTGTTCCTCTATGATGTTTATTGCTTGTATTTCTTCTTTTTGCTGAGAAAGATGTCTCCCAGAATGACGTCAGTGACTGTGGTGGTAGTGCTTATCCTTGCTTTGTCCCTGACTCAGGGGATGTGCCCAGTGTCCCCAGTAAGTCTGAAGAAGGTGTCCATTTACATCCGTTTATGAAGGGTTTTTAAAACAGCAGCAGCCGGTGTTGGAGGCCTTCACAGTGTCTAGGGAGAAGGTTTATTTTTCCCTCATGTGACATCCTTCTTGTCTCTAAAGTATGTCTTACAGATGAGAGAACCTTTTGGGGGTCCTGGTGATGTTCTTGCCCCCAACATTTCAGTTACAGGTGTCCTCAAATGGGGGGCTTGTTTTTGTTTCTTCTTAGGCTAGAAAAGTGAATCAGGAGAAGAAAAGAGAGACCAACCAAAGAGGAGGCAGACACTGGACACAACACAGGAGCCAGCAGCTGTGGGCAGGGCCATTGGGTGACCCAGATTAGGCAAGGAAAGATGACCATTTGCAGCCCAGAACCGGCAGGGAATAGAGTTCAGACGAAGCGAAAAGGAATGGGTTCTTGGGTGGAGGTGGACTAGGGACTGACATTGATTTATTAAACACTTAATGGATGTCAGTTTTAATAATTTGTGTTTTTCTAGAAGACGACCCATGCATCCAGGTCTGCAAATGTGTTGGTAAAGATTCCTGCACAGGACTGACTTAATTGTTTTGATATTCTTTGTGGTTGTGTTTTTTTCCCCCTAATTTTATGTGTATGTGTTTTCTTTCTTTCTTCTTCTTTGGGTTAACCAGAGCGTTAGTAATTTTTATTAAACTGCATCATGTGACATTCCTGATTTTTTTGGTTAAAAAACAATTGAACCTCAGCAATTTCATGTGGTTCAACCTAAGATTATTGGGCAACAATTTTACATCTATTTTCTCATTTAATACCCCAAATACCATGTGAGGTGAACAAAATTTTCATCACTTTGCAGATGAGGCATCTGAAGCCCAGAGAGGCTAAGCAACTTGCCCCTAAACACACAGCAGAGAAATGAAGCTGAAGTGAGAGTGCACCTTTGAACTTTCCCTTAGCTATCACTATGTAGACTTTCTGTAAATATCACATTACCACAGGGCTTGAAAGGCCTTCTCTGCACCCCTGTGCTGAGCATTTGGGCATCCAGGCCAGGAGAGGAAGTTTAGATGGGCCTGGGTCCCAGGACAGGGATGGATGGGAGCCTGTGGGCAGCTTTGGGCAGCCGTGCGAGGAGAGTATGGAGGCTCAGTGAGTTGGGGGAAGGGCCCAAGGCTCTTGGGATCTGTGGTGCAGTGAATGACTTGGTATGAGTCTTCTAGCCAGTGTTTGTGATTCCCACCAGATTACTGGGTGGGACCACACCAATAAGGTGAATGGAACTCTAATATGAGGATTGGTTAATTTGCTGTGCTGCTGGGCTTAAAATGAGCCTTCTTAGAGGCAGAAAGGGAAATCTCACTGCCATCAAGAGAGAATAGCTGGAAGTGGAAGGGAGTAGAGTGCATCTTTAGACCCAGGATCCCTGTGCTTTACCTCCTCGGCAGTGACTTCCAGCAGAGATGTCCAGCAGAGAGATGGCGGCAGTGGAACCAAGAGGCATGAGACAGAGCTGCAGGCTTGCCGGCCCACTGAGCAAGAAACCTGAGTGCCTTTAGGCAGAAGGCTTGCTGGCAAAGTGGAATACACCTAGGGGCACCTAAAAGAGCTTTGTAACACTTGTCCCCAAGCACAGCAGAGGCCAGACAAAGAGGCCAAGGGCCAGAGAGGCGTGCCTGAGGGCATAGCAGAGGGGAGACTATCCTGATTGAAGAATTGTCTCCTGAGTGCACTCCTGAAGTGAATTGTAACTTGTTACTTCCCTAATAAATTCTGTAATCGTGAGTATTGTCTGTGAGTTCTGTGTGGCCATTGCAACAAATTATCGAACTCAGCAAAGAAGTACTGAGTGCCATGGGAGAGATGGTTGATGTCAGAATTGGTAAAAAGGATGGAGGGTGGTGTGGCATGTCGGGCCATAGGAATAAGCCTTGGGCTGTTGATGGTGACTCAGTTCCCCCTTGTGAAGTTAGGGGAGGTCAGAGGAGGATGCTGCTCTATGTCCTTTTTGCAGGACCCAAGCCCTGTGAGGCAAGAACCTAATGGTGAAGTAGTTATTGAGGGTGTACTATGCGCCAGGTACTTCTAGGCACTGATGATGTAACGAGGACAAGGCCCTGCCTTCCTGGAGCTGATACTCAAGTGGTGCCAAAGTCTCCAAGTGAAGGGACTGAAGGACCTGGGAAAGCTAGTAAAATGCCAGAGTTCAGACTCTCAGGGAAGAGAGTGAGCACATGCGGACCTGATCACAGACCATGAGGGCAGTGGGGGCACCTGGCCCTCGGCTCAGGGCAGGGCCAGTGTCCTCAACCCGGGTGGCCACAGCAGCTTCACACATCACCTGACTCTGTGAACTTCGTATCTGCGAGCTACTGGGGAGAATAGCAGACACAAATCTAGGAAGGAAAAAATGAGCTTTCTTGAAAATCCCGTCTCCAAGCAGTGGGCAAACTAAAGTAAGCACTAAACTAATGTAAGCATGAGATGAGGACTGCCACCGTGAGCTCAGGCGAGTGTGAGTCGATTTTGGTCCGCGTTCCAGCTCTGCTGCTCTTTGGCTGTGCTGTCCTGCAGGGCCCAGGGGACCTCTCCGGCTGCATCTTTACCCGTGTGAGAAGTGAGACAACCTCCAGGGCTCTACAGCTTTGGAAACTGACAAGTTCGTTTAAACTTTTTGTGCCTAGGAATCATTTTTGATGCACAATTTTATCAGGTGTGTCCAGCACTTTTGTTATGACTTGTTAACCCTGGTTGGTATTCCCTTGCTGGGGCCAGATTGCTGTGTGAGCTGTGAGATGCTAGGGGTTGTTGTCAGACCTGGGGGTGCCTTTCTGGTGAGAGCAGGTGCTTAGAGGAGGGGGTTCTTATAGTTCTGGGGAATTTGGACATGGAAGGCCTGTGGTCAGTGAGGAAGATCCAAGGGCAGCAGAAAAGGGGATGGGATCTAAAGGAAGGGGTTACTGGGGTCAAAACTTGGTGTTGGCAGGGTGCCAGGTAAGGGCATTCAAAGTGTGAAGGGGGGAGAAGTTTCATGAGAACTGACCCCTGGGGCACCACTGACCCTGACCTGCCTGGGTGAGGAGTTGGGACCCTACCTGTGTTTTCCAGGCTGTGTGACACTGAGTGGCCCCAGGATTGTGACAGGCTCTGAGGGGGGATCTTTGAGCGTGCAGTGTCAGTATGAGGAGAAATTAAAGAAGAACAGCAAATACTGGTGCAGAGAACCACAAATTAGACACTGTGACAAGATTGTGGAGACCAGAGGGTCAGACAGAGAGAAGAGGAGCGGACGAGTGTCCATCAAGGACCATCACGCCCAGCTCACCTTCACGGTGATGATGTGGAACCTTACAGTGGAGGACGAAGGTGCATACTGGTGTGGGATCGATACAAACTTGTTTGAAGATGATCTTATGTGGGATCCTGTCTTCCAGGTGATGGTGTCTGTGTTCCCAGGTGAGCCCCTCCCCCTCCCCCCCACCAGCACCAGGGCTGCCTGAACAAGCTCAAGTCAGAAGAGCTGGGGCAGGTCTCAGGTCAGAGATGTGGGGAAAACTATGCATGCATGTGCGTGTGTGGGCATCTATGCTTGTGTGTGTATGCATGTGCATGTGTGCACATGTGTGTGTGCGAAAGGGAGAGCCCCAAAGCAATCTGCCTTGCCCTGGCTTTGTAGTCATCAGTGGTTTGAGAGACACTGAGGCAGGTGGGGTGGGTGAGTGAGGAAGATATGAGTTTGAGCCCCCAGGACAGTAGGGTCCTTGCCCCTTCTGCCCCCACTGGAGCTGTGTGGCATGGGCCCACTCTGAAGGGCTCCCCATTGTCCTTTAGCCTAAGGGGCAGCAGATCTCTGAGACATCCACTCTCAGGGACCAGGGGTCACACACGGACCAGCTGCCCAGGCTTCCCAGTGCCGGCAGGGACAGGGTGACGGCCCAGCCCCAGCCAAACCCCACGTCCTGATCGCTCTCTGATCCTCTAGCCCAGGGGAGCTCTGGTAGCATAGTGCCTAAGGCACTTGACTGCTAACCAGAAGGCTGGCGGTTCAAACGCACCAGCCACTCCTTGGAAGGAAGATGGGACAATCTACTTCCATAGTGATACTGCCTCGGAAACCCAAGGAGGGGTCGCTATGAGTGGGGTCCAACTTGACGGCACATAACAACAACAACAACCTCTAGCCCAGACCCCATCTTCCCCCAGACTCTATATCACCTGCCTCAGGCCACCTGCTTTAGCCTCGACTTTGTGGGATGGCCAAACTACTACACAAACTGTCCCTGTGAAGGGCCCAGCCACAGGCCAAGTATGAGTCCTGGTGCAGCCACAGTGAACATGGAGAAAGCTCAGCGGTCCCCTGGCCACCTGTGGGGCTCTCTCTGCTTCATGGGGTCCCCTTCCCCAGCTCCTCCCTGCCCTCTGCTCCCCTGAGGTCCCCGACAGTCCCCCACAGCAGTGTAGTGTTTGTCCACGAGGAAGTCCATTCCACATCCCGTTCATTGAGGGTCAATTCTCTATCATGTGCTGATGTGTTCAGGGGTCTGAAACATGGTTCTGTGTTGGAGAAGAGCAGAGAGCCAGGGAGCAGGACCATTGTAGTGCAAAGAGTGTCCTCAGACAGGCAGACACCCAAAGGACCATGATCTCCTACAGCAGGGGCCTCAGGCCTCAGGGGACAATTCGTTGCCACGGGGTCAGGGAGGGTTCTGGGGTCCTGATGTCTCTGCTCAGTCTTGATGCAGGAGGGGAGGTGAGGCTGAGAACAGAGCCTGCACAGGAGACTGTCAGCCCCCAGAAACTCAGAGTGTGTGAAGGATGGTTGAGAGACCAGTAGAGGGGCAGGCAGGGCAGATGCAGGGCTCAGTGAGGAGTTTAACTCTCGACAGGGCAGATGTGCAGTGTGGACACACGTCTGTGGCCACTGCGTGGCTGTGCTTGGAGGGGACAAGGCTGGGGTGGGAGACACGTTAGAGGCAGTCGGCCCGCCCTGTGTCAGCAGGAGGGAGTCAGGGCTGTTGAGCTTCCTGTGTGCTGCTTGGAAACACTACCTGGGCCCAGGGGATCCTGGGGGAACTTTGGCCCCAGTTTCCTCTGTCCTGTCCCTTTCCTAAGTGAGCATCCAGTGTGAAATCCAGCCAGAAATGTGCTGGCAAGAGGCGGGGAGGGTCAGAGGAGAGGCCCTGGGTCTGATCTGTGTTTTTGCACCAGCACCAACATCAAACACACCTACAGGTATGACATTCACCATGACTTCCTTGACCTCCTTGACCTCCACAACCATAACTGAAGCTCCACCCATGTTGTCCACTGCACTGGTCACAGAGAGTGTCACCCACAGCATGAGCAGCCAGGAGAACTCCAACCAGAGCCAGGGCCCAGGGTAAGGCACCTCAGTCCTCGTGACCTGGAGGTGGGTCTTCTCGGCCTGGGCCACTTCCTCTTCCTGTGGTCCAGATGTGGCCCAGTTGAGGGTAGGACTCACACCCCTGTGGCTGGAACATCTTGACTCCGTCTGCCCCAGTCCAGGCTGGACACCCCGTCTGCATATCCCAGCTTGCGTAGCTTAGGCCACGCTGGACCTACCCTGGGCTTTGAGAGAGCTCTGAGGCCAGGAGAAGCTGCATTTAGTGAGACCAGTTGCTAGCCTACCAGGCCCACCCTGGGGGTCTTACAGAAATGTTCCCCTTTGCTCCTCACTGTCACCTGCACTGTTATCTTCATTTTACAGATGAGGAAACTGAGGCTCAGAGAGGTTAAGCAATTTTCCCAGGTGCACAGCCACAAGAGGCAGGACTGGGCTTCCGACTCAGGTTACGTGACTCCAAGGTCTTGGGCTCTTCCCTCCAAGCTGTGGTTGTTGTTGTAGCCGTGGCACCCCCATGTGTGCAGATACTGCTCCGTGGGGTTTTCATGGCTGTTCCCTTTCAGAGGCAGATCACAGGCCTGTGTTCTGAGGTGCCTTTGGGTGGGTTCACGCCCCAGTGTCCCAGCTACTACTTGAGCACTTAGGTGTTTGCTCCACTCAGGGACTTCCCTCTAAACCAGTGGCCCTTTTCTGGGGTCGCCAGCCCCATGGATAATCTGCACAAATCTATAGGGAGACAGCTCAGGGGGCAGGAGTGCGTAAGAAGGACACAGAGAAGAGGTAGCTACAGGGAGGAAGTGGGAAGAAAACTGTTCCATTGTGGGGAATTGCAGTCAATGTCATGAAACAAAAGGTGTGCAACCTGCTGTGTGGAAAATGAATTTGCTCTGTAAAATTTCACCCAAATCACAATTTAAAAAAGAAAAAATCTATAGACTCTTCCCTCTAAAAATGCCTGCAGTCAAAACGCATTTCTGGGACCCACAGATGCCCAGAGACCTTCCGTAGGCTTCCTGCCCACGGCCAGGGGGTTGAATCTTCATAACAAACAAGGAAATTCAGGCCCCAAACACACCACTTCCAGAAATTGATCCACACACAAGGAAAACTAGGTGTTATTGGGCCTGAAGACAGTGCAATTTAGGGGGCCATCTTTCATAAAAATATTAGATAATAATGAATTCAAAGTTAAGTATGAAAGAAAGGGCCCACACAATGAGGACCTTTAAGCTTAAGCTTCATATAAAAAATCAAAGCTGTTACCACCGAGTGGACTCTCTCTCATGGACACCACATGTCTTGGAGGTGAGTGCTGCATTGTGTTTTCCTGGCTGTGGTCTGTGTGGGAGCAGGTTGACAGCCCTTTCTTCCATGGCACTGCAGGGTGGACTCGAGCTGCCGACCTCTAGGTTAGCGGCTGATTGCTACCTGTGCCATCCAGCTTCCCAGGAATGGCTGGTGCTCGTCCAAGTGGAAAATGATGGCAGGAAAGGTTTACTCACCGCACAGTGTTTATAGTCACAAAAGGTAGGGAAATGGCTAAGAAGGGATCGTGAAATGAGTTATGGTGGATCCGTGAAGCGAAATAGCACGCGGGTGTGGAAGACAGCAAGGTGCTTCTGTAAGCCCACGGATGTGGGAGGTTGCTGAGAGGCACTGATAGAAAGTCAGACCAGAATACAGGGAGTCCCTCTCATATGGAATGCAGTACCACGTTTTTGTCTAGTGCTCATTATCAATGCCTTTTATTATCGTATCTTTATAAAACCAATCTTAATTTGCCTTTGGTGATTGGGAGCATGGAAACTTACAGGGATCTCTCAGTAGATACGTATTACTAACAGTGAGATGTACAAAAACAAAGACAGTCTTAGTGCAGTTTGTCATAGCCTGAATGTGTCACAAGTCGGGGACTACCTCTAGTATGTATAGTATGTCTGCTTTTGTGTGGAAAAAGGAAGAAGGTAAAGTATTTATATTTGCTATATGCCTAAGGCACTTGACTGCTAACCAGAAGGCTGGTGGTTCAAACCCATCAGCCACTCCTTGGAAGGAAGATGGGGCAATCTACTTCCGTAGTGATACTGCCTCAGAAACCCAAGGAGGGGTCACTATGAGTTGGGGCCGACTCGATGGCACATAACAACAACAACAACAACAATATATAAAAAATCAAGAGCTCTAGTGGTGTAGTGCCTAAGACATTTGACTGCTAACTAGAAGGTTGGAAGTTCAAACTCAGAGGAAGGAAGACTGGGCAATCTATTTCCATAAAGATTTACTGCCTCAGAAACCCAAAGTGGGTGGCTGTGAGTCAAAAGTGACTTGATGGCAGTGAGTTTGGTTTGGGTTTTAGAGGTGCACAGGAGCCCCGGTGGCATAGTGCCTAAGGAATTTGACTGCTAACTAGAAGATTGATGGTTCAAACCCACCAGCCACTCCTCAGAAGGAAGGTTGAGCAATCTACTTCCACAAAGATTTACCATCTCGGAAACCCCAAGGAGGTCGCTATGAGTCACATTTGACTCAATGACACTGAGTCATGACTGAAGTTTTTTTTCTTACTATTTTTTTTAGGTGCAGGGCCTCTCCAGGCATTAGGATACAGTGGCAAAGATGTGGACTGTGCCTGGACTCCTGGGTCTCCTCTGTCATCCCCATGGCCCTTCATTATGTCCCCAGCCCAAAGTTAAGGGTTGGGAACAGCAGTCTCATGGGTGAGGCTGGTCTGTCTTTGGGCTCTCCCAGGGTTGGCCCTGATGTGCATCATTATGTCCCCAGGATCTGGGCTCCTGGGCAGAGGGAAGGGGAGGTTCCAAGGCCTCCTTCTGAGGAGGCCGTTCACTGTCTGTTACCATGTCCTGCACAGGTCCCTGCTCAGCAGTGTCCACTTCCTGCTCCTGGTCTTCCTGAAGGTGCCCGTGTTCTTGAGCATGCTCGGGGCTGTCCTCTGGGTGAACAGGCCTCAGAGGTCCCTGGCGGGCCGGGGAGTCCAGCTGTGAGAACCAGCAGCCCTCGTGCCAAGATGCTCTGTCCATGGATCCAGCCCCTCAGGCAGAATCCAAATGAGCTCAGCAACCAATCCTCTGTCACCGCCCAGGTTTCCTGTGTTTTAAAAACTTTTTTCATGCAACATATTATAAATATTAAGTAACATGTCTAATAAAAATATACACCTTTAACAAATGTTCTTTAACACTTGTTTGTCCACCTTACAGTTTAAGAAAGAGAATATCACCTGTACTTGGTTTTTTTTGTGCCTAGCCTGAGATAGAAGGAGGATTAGTGGTGTAGTGCATATGACATTTGGCTGCTAACCAGAAGGTCGGCAGTTCAAACACACCAGCCACTCTGCAGAAGGAAGATGGGGCAATCTACTTCCGTAAGGATTTACAGCCTTGCGACTGTGCCCCTAGCCTTCAGGTCTGGAACAGAACTCTTGTGGCTTTCAGCCAAACAACAGCCAGGCATATGGGGTGAACATTTACATCAGGTAGATCCACTCTTGGAGCGATCAATCATGGGAGAATGGAAGGGCAGTGTTTGTACAGGGAGATAATGGGGGCAGGGGGCGGGGGGGGCAGGAGTTCGTGGGAGGGAAGGACACAGAGAAGAGAGAACTATAAGGAGGAGGTGGGAAGAGAGCTGCTACATTGTGGGAAATTGCAGTCAATGTCATGAGGCAAAATGGGTATGGATGGTTGTATGGAAAATGAATTGGCTCTGTAAACTTTCGCCCAAATCACAATAAAAATTAAAAAAAAAAAAAAAAAAAAGAGTTACAACCTTAGAAACCCAATGGAGATCGCTGTGAGTCAGAATCTAGATGGCAGTGCGTTTGGTTTTTGGTTTGAGCCTGAGGTAGGAGTCATCCCGTTTTCTCCCTATGGGTAAGCATTGTCCACAGTTACTGACGGTTCCCTCCTTTCCCCATGATCTGCTTTGCGACTTCTGGCGGATACTGATTTCTGTGTTTCTGTGGATCTCTTTCTGAGGGTTCTATTCTCTTTCATTTGTCTATTTCCTTATTCCTGAGCCAATGCGACACTGTTTTGGTAACTTCAGCTTTACTAAAACATCTTGAAATCTGGTATGTTATGTCACCACATATTGTTGTTTTATATCAGGCACGTCTTTGCAAATATTAGCTCTTTCCTCTTCCATGTAACACTTAGAACGAGCCACGCACGTTTCTAAAAAAGAAAAAAAAAAAACTTTTTGAGATTTTTTTTTTTTAGTGTAACTATGTCAAACTCATCTTTTTGTCTTTTTTATTTACATTTTATATTTTTGTACATATTGTCAGAGGTCAGCCTGTTTTGTTGTTGTTCCCTCCTCATCTTTATAATCACTTTTCCTATGTATGAACACAATACGTGACTTGTTATTTCTGAGCTTCTTAAATATGTCATATGATTTTCTCCTCAAAGCTGTTCACATATTAAATTTAAATCTGGATAACTTTTTATTGCTATTTTAAGTGATATTTTTATTGTGTTTCAAGCTATTCTTGACATGTGTGTAGATACAGAATTGATCGTTGTAGCTCATCTTATGTATAGCATTCCTGGTAAAATCTTACTGTTTTTTTCATTTTGACATGCAATCAATTCATCTACAACTATTTAGTTATGCTTTTTCCTTTCTACTTCTCATCTTTTATTCCTTTTTCATGTTGCACTGTGAAGGCCAAGGCTACAACTCAGTTTCCAACAAAGTGGTGATTACCAGCATCCTTGTTCTCTTCCTGATTTTAAAGGGAAGACTTCCACCACTGATTGTAATGTGTGTGCAAAGTTGACTTATAGATACTCTTGTATATCTAGTTTATCATGGAAAGTAATGGATCTTTGATAGTGTTTTTTATGTATCTAGTGACATAATTATATGGCTTTGCCCTTTATAATGTTGATATGGTGAATGATATAAAATTTTAATGTTGTTATTGTTGTTGTTATGTACCATCAAGTCGGACCCGACTCATAGTGACCCCCTCCTTGGGTTTCCAAGGCAGTATCACTACTGAAATGAAATTGCATTCTGGAGTAAACCAAAACTGCTGATAAGATATTCTGTGTTTCATTTATTGCTGAATTCATATTGCTAATGTTTTGTTTAGAATTTTTGTAAATTCAAAAACAAACTCACTGCCATTGAGTTGATTCTGACTCATAGAGACCTCCATTGGGTTTCTGAGGTTGTAAATCTTTAAGGAAGTAGATCTCCCAATCTTCCTTCTGCAGAGCAGCTGGTGGGTTTGAACTGTTGACTTTTTGCTTAGCAGCCAAATGCCTTATCTGCTATGCCACCAGAGCTCCTTTTTGTAAGTACTTCATGAATGAATTTGCTTTATAATTTTCCTTTGACCTATATATTTGTTTGGCTTTGCATCAGAATTATTTCGACCTTATAAATAACTCAAGGAGCGTTCTCTTGCTTTTCTATTCTTGGAAAGATTTTCTTTAAAATTAGAAAATCTATTCCTTAAATTTTTGGTATAACCTTCTGTAAAATCATTGGTACCTGCTGTTTATTCCTTTTTGTGGGCAGTTTTAGTGGCTCTAAAACATTTCATTTTGTATCACTTCTTGAATGAGTTTTGTGATTAATACTTTGCTCATATGCTAATACCAACCAATGTATCCACAATACTGCATTGACATTAGCACCAAACACCAGGCTACAGATAAACACGTAAACATCTGAGATGATCAGACAGGAGTCAGTGAACAGAAGTATACTCTAGACCAAGGATAGATTCAGCTGAGGCTAATCTTGCACAGACACCTGCAGTCCTTACAGAAGCAATAGAAGACAGACACAGAGTAATCCCTCACAGACAACCAGACACTATGGGAGAGAGATCCAATAGATCTACCGTTTCAGGACTATAGTACTGGGGGCCACCAGACTCAATTGGCACAACAAAATACATAAAAGCCTTGCTCTACATCCTACATTGGTGAGTAGTGACTGGGGTCTTAAAAGCTTTCAAGTAGTTATCTAAGATGCAGCTAACGGTCTCCTAGTGTTAGAAGCAAAGAATGCAAAAAAAAAAGGGGGGGGCATTTGGAAGCAGATCCTGGGTAGAGCGGGAGGGAAAATGTGGAATAAAATCCGAAAACTCAATGATGACCAGAATTACTGGTCAGATGAAATCTGGTGAGACCCCCAATACTATGGTCCTGGAATACATTCTGCACCTGGAATAAAATGCACCCCCAGGGGCTGGCTCTCAGCCCAGTAGTTAACAAGATTTACATGCAGACCTCTCAACCCAGGATGACGCACCCACATACTCTGTGGTAATACATCCCTTAGAACAATAGACCACAGGACACCAGAGGACCAACATTCAAATTGAGGAAATGCAGGACACACAGGAGTGCATAAATATGAAGGGCACAGGGGGAGGGTTACAGGGTAAGGAGGGGAGGAGGGTGGGTTAGGGTTGGACATGGTGAATGGGGAATAAAAATAAATGTACACATAATGAACATAAAACAAGCTCTTAAAATAAAAAAAAAATTTTTAAAAAATACTTTGCTGATAATTTGTCCATTTGCTTGTTTTCAAATTTTTAACAAAAAATTATTTACATAAAAAAAAAGACCATGCTTATTGGTCTGATAGAGACTGGTGGAACCCCAGAGACTATATTACTCACACACTCTTCAAGCCTCAAAATGAACTCACCCCCATGGCTCAATTTCCAGCCAAACAATAGACAAACCTATAAGGTAAATAACAATACCAGGGAGCTATTCACTCACTAAAACAGTGAGAGGTCAAAAGGATAGCATTTGCCCAGGGATAAAGCTAAGAAGGCAGGAAAGGAAAGGAAAGAAGAATGAAGGAATTGGAAATGGGCAGAGCTTGAGAGGAGTGCTGGTACATTGTGAGGATTACAAGACATGTCACAAAACCAAATGTATATGAATTGTTGAATATAAAATCAATTTGCTCTGTAAATTTTCACCCAAATCGCATACACACAAACACTATGGAGCCGTTCTACTCAGCACACATGGGGTCGCCATGAGTTGGAATCACCTGGACAGCAACTAACAACAACAACAACGTTTAATCTAAAACATTATGAGCTGTGACATTATATTAAGCTGAGCAAATACAGTGACACTGGGTTATGAAGAAGATACATCAGGATTGGAGGAAGACTCATGAACAACTTGCGATATGCAGATGACACACTCTTGCTTGCTGAATGTGAAGAAGACTTAAAGCACTTACTGATGAAGATCAAAGACTTCAGCCTTCAGTTTGTTTCACACTTTAACATAAAGAAAGCAAAATTCTTCCCAACTGGACCAATCTGCAACATCATGACAAATGGAGAAAAGATTGAAGTGGTCAGAAATTTCTTTTTTCTTTAGATCCACAACCAATGTCCCTAGAAGCAGCAATTAAGAAATCAAACGACATAGTTCATTGGGCAAATCTGCTACAAAAGACCTCTTTAAAGTATTAAAAATGCAAAGATATAACTTTGAGGACCAAGGTGCACCTGACCCAAGCCATAGTATTTTCAATCGCCTCATGTGCACACAAAAGCTGGACAATGAATAAAGAAGACCAAAGAATTATTGCCTTTGAATTAGGGTATTGACAAAGAGTGTGAAATATACCGTGGACTGCCAGAACAACACAAAAATCTGACTTTCTAGAAGTACAGGCAAAATGCTCCTTAGAAGCAAGAGCATTTGCTTGAGTACTTTGTCTCTTGGTAATACATGCTACCAAGAAGGACTAGCCCCTGGAGAAGGATGTCATATTTAGTAAAGTAGAGGGTCAGCAAAAAAAAGGAAGACCCTCAACAAGATGTATTGACACAGTAGTGCAACAATGGGCTCAACATTGCAACCATTGTGAGGACGGCCCAGGATGTGGCCGTGTTTCATTGTGAGGTACACAGGGTTGCTGTGAGTGAGAAATGTCTTGACAGCACCTAACAACAACAAAAGAGCGGTGACGGTGGCACAAC